ATTATTCAGTGGACTCTAGGCATTAATATAATTCATTATATTGTGCCAAAATAACAGTTTTCTCCGTTGAATCATGTGTTTAGCTTCATTAGTATGTTAACTTAAAGGTGAGATATTTATTTGATTATTTTTAACACATCTCTTATATTTATTCAATGTATTTTAAGTTTCTTCTTGTCTGTTTCATGTAAGTATTCCCACATTCACGCGTTAATATATATATATGTACCAGTTTTTACCATTAGAGCAATTATTTCTTTGGTTACATTAAGAACCTGGCTAACCGTGTTCATAGGTCCTTATGTGGGAGAGATATTTTTTTTTTTCTAAATTAGTGTATTGTTTGACAGACTTGACAATCTACGGAAACTAATTCTTCGCGATTGTGTGGATCGCACCCTAAAAAACGGTTTGGTCATCATTGAAATTATAATTATTGTTATCAAATGTTGGAAAACTAGAAAATTCAAGCTTGTTTTTATCTGGACAGAGATGGGACGGAGTGGACAAGTTATCAGATAAATGTACACTTGACCTCCTAGGTAAGTTCGTGGAATTTTAACTACACTAAATAATAATCGCTTCATGGTTGCTAGAAGTAGAGAGTCTACTTCTGGGGATGTATAAAGATAGACCAATGTTCTGTCGAAACATGTAGTGTGTAAAAGTTTGGAGACGGCTTGACTGGGTAACGAAAAAACTTTATTATAAATGTACGACGTTTCGACAAGATACGTCATCGTCATCATCAAGTACAAGTAGTTTCCACAGAAACATGAATATATATATATATATATTATGGAATAAAGAGGTCACATAATTGGAGATTGCTTTATAGCCTAGTAGAGGTATCTTGGTACCAAGGGGTGTTCGTGTAGGGTGGGGGTGTTTAGTTCATTTAAGATAGCTTTCTTTATTCTGCGTTTATTGATGTTTGGTTCTTTGTTTAAAATTACAATGTTGTTTGTTTTTTTTAGCTGCAATGGTGATAAACATGGGAGGGTTTTTTATTATGTTTGATGAATCTGGTTTCCAATTTTCTTCCGGTTTCTTCAATGTACAGTTCTGGACAGTTGTTGTAGGTTATTTTATAAATGATGTTGGTATTGTGTGATTCTATATCATTTTTATTTAGTAATGATTTTAGTTTAAAACAGAGTTTTTTTTCGGTGAATTTGACGTCAATAGGAATTTTATGTTTGATGGTTAGTGTTGATTATTTTTAAATCAAAGTCAGGGATAAATGGTAAACTGCGGTGTAATATTGTGTTGTTGTTTGGTGTATTAGTGTCAGGTTTGGAGTTTTTGTTCTGGTGGTTGTGTGAAAAGTTTTCGACAATGGTTATTTGAAATTTGGAGGTCTGGATGAAGGAATGCTTTATAAAGTTGATTTTTTTTTCATCTATGTAGTCAGTTGAACAAAGTCCTGTGTCTACAGGTTTTTTTTTTAGAATATTAAATTTTTGTTTGGATTTATGGGAGGAATTCCAGGGGATGTAGAGGCCTGTGTGAGTGATTTTTTTTTGGTTTTGAACTATGTTATGTTGGATCTGATAATGTCGAAGTTAAGAAAAAAACAACTGTTTTTGTTTTTGTGTTCAATGGTGAATTTAATGTTAGGGTGAATGGAGTTTATGTGTTCACGTTTGTGCTGGTTTTACAGGGTACTCTATTAAAGTGATCAGCGGAAGATTTACAATATATCTCTATGTTTTACGATCGTCCGCCATTACTTTAAGGATTTCCTTCATTCTCGAGAAACATTCATATCCAACATATTTTGCTGGTATTGTAGTAGAGCTCTGGATTTCGGAGCTGTCGAGTTGGGTTGGAATTCGTGTGGTACCACAAATTAATTCTGCATTTTACGCTGTCTTTGAGTTATACGTGACAGTCACTCCCTTAGCGTGGATTGTGGGTGGTAGGATGCTGCTACCTAGATGCCTTCCCTCTGTTCAGAAATTTAAAGTTAGGGAAGGCGGTGAGCAAACTTAGTAGCTTTGCCATAAAAAATAAGTACAATTTGAACAATGATTTTAAAATAATTTCTTGAAATATACAGGTTTACAGAAGTGTACTATGATGTTGTATTATCCAAAGTCGTTTGCTGCACTGGTGTTAACAAGTCGACTCATTTTCAATATTTGTTATTGTCTATTATTTCTCTTATTTTGTTTGTTATTAAGCACAAAGCTACACAATGGGATATCGGTGCTGTGCCCATCGCAAATATTGAAATCCGATTTTTAGCGTTATAAGCCCTCAGACTTACCACCGAGTCACCGGGAGGCGTAGGTACCTTCTTCATTTTCTTCCAGAGAGCTTTCTCAGAGGATTTCTTCCAGTAACTTCTGCTATTTTCAGCAAGAGATGTACGCATGTCAAACAATATAAAGAAGTACCACCCAGGAGCGTGGTCAGAAACTGCTCACAATTGTTTATTTTTGTAAAGACGAATGATTGTATTATAGTCAAGCATTCTGTAAAACAAGCCACGCCAGTTTGTTTCGAGAGTTACAAGCTATTTGGGAGAAAAAATGACCGCTGATTAAGCACAGAAACACCGATAACTTTTATTTTCTATATTTAAATTTAGACATTTTTTTTCTTGTTGTTGAAAAAAGGTAACTGAACTGTAGATGACCATTTTGGATTCCAATTCATCAACAAGGATTATATAGGCCTTCATCGTGTTATTAGATTATGGAAGAACACTGAATGACTAAAACTGAACAAGTTGAATTATTGTACAGTATTTACAGACAAGCTGAACAACTTCTTATGTGACAACGAACTTTATAACGTAGCTACAAGTGTACAAGAATATATAGTGAAAAAAGTAGCCATTTACGCGGCTTTTCACGAGCTTAGCAACTTTGCGATGGAAACTAAAACAAAACAACTAAAATTGTAAACAAAGAATATCATGCAATGATTTTTGAAAATTGTTATTGGTGACCAGTACTTCAAGCAAGGCCTTCTAGACAAGTTCCCTACAATGATGTAAATTGTTATTGGTAACCAGTACTTCAAGCAAGGCCTTCTAGACAAGTTCCCTACAATTGATGTACATATATATTGGTAACCAGTACTTCAAGCAAGGCCTTCTAGACAAGTTCCCTACAATGATGTAACATGTATATTGGTAACCAGTACTTCAAGCAAGGCCTTCTAGACAAGTTCCCTACAATGATGTAACATGTGTATAGTTCCAGTCCTCTCTCACTTTTAGTAATGCTATTTCTTTCATTTGAAAGCTTCTGGAGACATGGTTAGTCCAACATTAAAGTTTTAACACCATTAATCATATGGTAAACACACGAAAACAGCGTTTTTCACTCCAGAAGTTGAATGTTTGTTCACTAACTTACTATCAGAAAATTAGAAATGTTTGAGCAGTTTATGATAGAGAAAATCTTATTCATGATACATCTAAGGTTATTTTTAAGAATCGCATTTTATATTCATTGTTAAACTGTATGAACAGAACGGTGGGATATGCCTGTGTTAAAATTTAACATATATTATGGCTAAGGTTTTATGTTTTCCATACACTAAAAAATGAGATGGTTAGAGAAATGTCTAGCTTCTTTTAAGTCCTTATTCTACCACAAATATGTTGATGATACTTTGGTTATATTTCAAAAGTGAAAAGATGTTATTTTTATGAGAAAAATGTCTGAAACTTGGAATCCCCTCAGTGTAATTCAGTAACATGCCTCTCCCAGTGCAACTCCAAAGATGGTTTGGACATTTTCTCTGATACAAAGGTGGTCATGGAAACGTACAAAGGAAGTGGTTAAAATACTGGTCTTCCAAAAGACACTTTAGTGTGCAATCATTTTCATAAGATTGAGTATAATTACGTAGTTCTAGGGGCAGCTTGGACATAGAACATCGTTCTTATTAAGGGTGATTAGCCCTCAGTATGTCTAGAGCATTGGTTGAGAGGGGGGCATGTTTTGTTATTGAAGTTCGATTTTTTTAGCGTGGCCGTGGAATGATATTTTTTTCACTAATCATAAACTCCACTCCACTCTGTTATCATTAATTGACACCAACTATATGTACACATTTGGTGGAAAAGACTATTATCATTTGCAAAGAAGCTCCAAATAATATAGTGAGATTTCAGAGTGTCACTTCTGTTCCAAAGCCTCCCACTGCTGTCCAATTGGAATCACCTCAGAGCTATGGTGTACTGAGGCAATATATTGGAAGTATGCTTCCTTCCACAGAACTCCATCTGTGGTCTTCAATTTCTTTAGCACATTACCACAGTGCCAAAATGTTCTATACCGCGAATCCAAAAACTCCTGTTTAAAAGCAATCAGTTTCTTCAATCTTAGCCTTTTAACTCCCCAATCTGTACCATGTAATTCACCACATGTAAATACTGTAAGGGCAGGCCCACCAGTGCACCACATGTAAATACTGTAAGGGCAGGCCCACCAGTGCACCACATGTAAATACTGTAAGGGCAGGCCCATCAGTGCACCACATATAAATACTGTAAGGGCAGACCCATCAGTGCACCACTTGTAAATACTGTAAGGGCAGGCCCATAAATGCACCACATTGAAATATCTTAAGGACAATCCCATTACTAGCTAAAGTGATACTGTCCCAATACTTTTTTGTTTTTTTACATATTAACTGGAAAAAAATATAGTTTCACGAAACACTGAAAAAAAAGGTTTGATCCGAGTGTGTGTTTTCTTTCAGTAAGTCTCAGTTGTTTTTGTTACATATACATATTTTACTAGGTTTCGAAACTTATCACATATAACTGTTAAAATAAGCTGAACTCGTCTTACATCTGATCAATCACTACATCTAGAAATTTCCACCAAATGGTAAAATTGATTTTGATACGATTTGTGATAAAGGATAATTCACGATAACAAAAAAAAAAAAATCTGCATAATACACGAATATGACAGTTTATTTGAAATTTAAAAGTAATCTATCAATGACATGTTTTTTTGTTTGTTTTTTTATTTGGAAATACATTATTTCTGCAAAACAGCCAAAGTAGAATACTGGCTAAAAGTCGTACGTTATATACAGGACATTTTTGCAAGTGGACGACATACATATTGTCCGTATTAGACAGTATATAAATAAGATTACATGCTGAAAGAGCACTGCAATAAACAACAGAATTTCTAAGCCAAAATCCATTCTAGCCGCCTACGCTAACTTATAATTAGCTTATAAAATCTACTGGATCTGTAAAAGCATCAAGCAAATTCTAGCATATCACTTTCAGATGTAAGTCTGCAATTGTGAGCACACTTAAGCTCTTCTTTACGTTCGACTTTAGCACGCAAGTCTAGCAACAGACACAATAAGTCTGTAACGGTGAAGATACAGTTATGTTTCTGACCTAGACTATTTATTACTCAGGTGCTAATATTTCATGTCGACAGTTTAGCTGCCACAGCTGTATAGCACTAATTCTATAGCTTTCTGTTAATAAAAAATTGAATCAGTCTTTTTTTTTTGGAGTTCATATCTCTTTTAAAATACTGTAGTCAATTTATAATGCTACTTTCATGGTTCTACTTACAGTAATATATATAAATGTACGACTGAAATGAAAGCATGGAAACGTGTGTTTCTTTACAGCTAGTTTAGTTTCTACACGTTGAAAAATAACATTTTATATTCTCTGGTTTCAAACTTAATGGTTAAGAGTAACCTAATTTGAGTTTGAACTATAGAAGAGAAATGCAAAATGCAACCAACACGAACATACAAAAAAATTTGATTTTTTGAATCTGTTGCTAAGCCCTCAAAAGGTTGTTTGAACATTTAACAGTCCAACCAAACGGCCTCTTCTTATGAACCCCAGTTTCTCTATCACACAATTATTGGAAGATTCTGTAGAAAAATTCACTGTTCTAGCCAAGTAATACATTTTTTTCAACATGTAGCAAGAACGTGAAATGTACAAAATTAGCCTTTTATTTTATGCCATCCGTTCCAGTCACTTCACTGCTAATCTGAAAGTGGACGAGATGAAAGGCACAAAAACATTTAGTACAACAACGGTACAACTTAAACAGAGAGAGAGATGATTTTAACGTTGCATGTACTGTATAACTAAAATATTTCCAGAGTGACGTGTAATATGTACTGTATAACTAAAATATTTCCAGAGTGAAGTGTAATATGTACCGTATAACTAAAATATTTCCAGAGTGACGTGTAATATATACCGTATAACTAAAATATTTCCAGAGTG